TTAGCTATCACGACTTTATAAAAGTCCGGATAGCAAAGTGATTGAACGCTCGCTTTTAATTCATTCTACTCGAGCAACCTGAGTTCAAACGCCGAAATCCCCAATGAAATTGTTAATTTCAAGTGCTTACTTATCACGTGCTCAGCGGTGAAGAAAAACATTGTGAGGATACCATATATAACCATAGGCATATTTTCGAAATAATTACCAAAAAGAAATTGAAGAAATGTAAAAGTAAAGTATCAGCCTATATATGTTCCACTGCTGGGCAAAGGCCTCCTCTGTACAGAGGGTATCAGGGCATAGTCTACCACGCAGCCCCTGCGGATTGGCGGATTTCATATATCTTCGATACATTATTTTTTTTGTTATTATTTCTAAAATATGCAGGTTTCCTCACGATGTTTTCCTTCACCGCTGAGCGCGTGATAAGTCATCACTTAAAATTAACAATTACATAGGTGCCGGCGCCGAGGCTTGAACTAAGAATACTGGAACAAATAGCTATTTGCATATTAATATTAACATTCGGTAATACATTCAGAAGTAGATGATTCGATTTAGACGCAGGCGGCTCAGGATCGTGCTTCGTGGCAGTCTGTGGGAAAGGCCTATGTTCAACAGTGGACTCACATAGACTAAAATGATGATGATGATGAATCGATTCAGGTACTATACTCGAAACTATATTCGTACTCGAAAACTTCGAAGGGGTCGACTAGTTTGTATATAATAAAAAAAAATGTACTTTAACGTACATTTCTTTTTATTTAGGGTCAGCACATAGACACAGAAATAAATAAGGTGCATAGGGACATACAGCGTGTCGTTACAATTGCGACTATAAATGAACACACGTCTAACGCTACTTGTCAATAATCATAAAAAGATGTAAAACGTTAAAAAAACCCATAATTTAAATATTTTTCAAACAAACTAATGAAATGAAAAAGAAACAAAATTTGTAACACTTATACAACTGCAACTGACTGATTCATACATTCAGAGACTTTTTCATTCGTAGCCACAACGTCGCATTACAAGTCTCTCCTTCTAAAAGCATGTTTTATCTCTTTTAAATTCATCTAACCCATTCCTAAGCTTTGTGACCTTTACAAATGAACTTTACGTTGCAGTTTTATACATAACGGTGTTCAAAAAATGTTTGTTTTGTAAAGTTTTATAACTCCATAAATATTGATGTTTAAAGAATGTAAATACTTAATACAATTTTAAAAAGTTATCCTCTATATGTGTGTTCATTTATTGTCGCAATTGTAACGACACCCTGTATACGTACGTGTACGTGTGGCGATCGAACGCGACCAGAGCCTGTGCAGCAAGGCTAATGGCTGGAAACGGATTAAGAATTAACTGGCGCGGTACCCGAGGCCGGAAGGTGGAAGAGAATTAGTGGAGAGCGGACATGAGTACTAATTGAAAACGATTCAAAAATGTACCAGCGAATAATTCTATGCTGTGTGTATGTATTATAACTAGTATTAATTATTACTCTCAACATTTACATTATTTGAGTTGTTTAATTAAAATTCAAACAATTCTTTATTGTTTGTCAAAACGCCACCAACGCCGCGCTTCGAAAAAGAAAAGTCACTAACCTGAGAAGAACCGGCGAAAGAAACTTAAGGGAACATATTTTTTACAATTATTTGTCAAGAAACAAGTTTACAGTGTATTAAAGCCTAGATCGATCATTTGCAGGGTGTTTTTATTAAATAAATAGATATCCGTGCAAAGTTTTAGATATGTGTTGATTTTTGAAAAGCTCAAGGAATGTGAAACGGCTAACTGCGAAATTTTAAAATAAATCGGCGTAGTTTCAGTTTGAACGAAACAAAAGTTTCTGTGCTAAATGAATGGGAAACTAAAATGAAAACATGACCTTTTAGATTTGAGCTACAGCGCCCTTTGGCGACAATTTTTTTTTGCCATCATACCCAAATATTTGGAAAGAGTTAAGAAGGAAAAATTAAAAAAAATATATAATACGGTGACAAACGGTCACACATCTGCATTACAATTTTGAGATATCTTTTTACGGAAAATTTACGGAAAAGGATGCAAACGATCTCGCTGGATACCTGATGGTGTGTTTTCCTGTGTTTTCGCCCACTGCCTATGGACACTCGACAGCATATATGATAATGGCTGTTAGTGCTTTATGTAGAATTATTCATATGCTTTACAAAACACCGAACTTCATCTATCAAAATCAAAGCAAAGTGCAAGCCTTAGAACTTTAGAGTATATCAACAGGCTAATATGATTATGATAATGACTTTATAATTTATAGACCAACGCAAGTTGTGATTTTTATGTATAATTTATTTGTGTATCCAGGCAACCTTGTTTATGTTGTTAGCAAAGCAAATGTCGTAACGCGCGGCCGTTATCCCGAAGGAATGATGACATTCGGTCAAACGGTCTAGCAGGATAACAAATCAAAGTCGAACACGAGTCGGCCCCGCGTTCGTTCGCGTATTGCCCGATAAAACGCCGAAATTAACAATAAAGCACAATTGAATGGAATAAGCATACGTCGGCGTCGGATTTATGGGGCGACGTACTATTGTGCCGGCGCTGATTGCCCTTTATGGAGATTCGCCGTCCTAACACGGGGCCCTGCGCCGCGTTTACGTTGTCAACGGGTTGTATGGACGTAAAACTTTTATGTACCCGCCCCCCCCCCCTCCTCGCCTCGCGTTTTACAACAGGCCTTTTATTATTTAGTGGAAGGAGCAACGGTGACGTCATAAATCTCCGCACCCGAGCGAACTCCGACCTCTTATCTCGGCGAAGGAATTACGGAACTTTCCGGCTTCTTCGCGACAAAGTGTTTGCTTTTTTTTGGGTCTTCCCCAAGCAAGCTGATGACGTTATTCGCACGCGATGAGATTTCCAAATTTTTTTTAAATTGTTAAGTTTAAGGAAAAGCATTATAATACAGCATTTTTGAAGTACATTAAAACTTGAAACGCGCCCTTAGAAATGTTAACTCGACACACGTTCACAATACCGCAACAAAAAGGTCTGTCAGTGTTGTTGTTTTTATTTTTTTTGTATTAATATGTAGGACGTAAACCGGAAAATTTATGGTCACATTTTAAGAATTTAGATGTACACTCTCAAACATTTCGAACACAGCTCGGGTTTAATGAGAAGAAAGAAACATTAAAGCAACATAATGCATTCGTGTACCTGTCCCAATATAATTCATTTATCTTGTATGAGAAGGTTGTGTGGGCCGTATGACAAGCGCCGCATGTAATTAAATAGCGCTCGACGTCGCCCCGAGCGGGTACTTTAAATCATAGATGAGAAAAATGTAATTGGGGATCAGCGAAACATATTGGATAGGAAATTGGTCGAACGTACGACGGCTTAAAATTAGAAATTGTGTTAAAATTATGGTTTATATTGTAACGGGTCCCGTCTGCCTTAGTTTAATTTAAATCTACGGAGTGATGTTTTAATTTTAAAAAAGTCTACACGATAATATAACGCAAATTAATGGTTTAATCAAAATGATCGGCGTTTACGGTTTCCATTTGAATTTGAAGGCGTAGAAGACACTGGCACAAATGTTAAATTGGTCCCTATCAACTTTAGGTATCCCAAGCTCATAATAACTTGTGTCCAAGTAAGTGCCGCCGTAAAAGTTGAAATAAAAAAGAATGTGACGACGTTAATAGTGATGAACGCATTCGGGGCTGAACTATATCGGTAACCACCAGATGTTGTGAGCAACACGTCGGCGCAACCGCCGCCGGAGGCAGCCACAATTAAACAGATAACATAAAATTAACGAAGCCGGCTCGTAAATATGCTCGGTTTTATTATCTATAAAAGTCACTAATTAATTAATTGAATAATGATTGAGCGCCTCGCCGTGCGATATTGGCCTTATATAGATAATGAAAGGCCCATTGCTCTTAGCGCAGTTGTAAACGCCCGACATAAAGCCGGCATAACGACACACGGTCTTGGTGAGACGTAACGTTTTTATATTGGTTCGACTAACACTCCACGTGCGGGGTGACTTTATTAAATTGGAGCACGTACCGCTGTTTGTTCGGGCTGGCCTCTCGTGAGCGGCTGAGCTATTATTTAACTTGCGCTTTCGCAGTGCACTAAATCCCGGTCCGTGACCGTTAATGCACTAGCCGGCAGCGGATAAGCTAACAAGCCTCTCTGGAACAAGAGGCGGCCGAACGGTGGGATTTAGCCACGTGAAATACGGCGCGATAACTCAGCGCCTCCGGGCCGCTTCTTTTCCCCTAATTAGCCATTCAATTCTCGTAATCTTGTTTACCCGCCGCCCGCGCTGCCCAGGTGCGATAATGGCCGAGCTATTTGCATGCCGCCATATTGTTTCCGCGCTCCGGGCCCGTCCGACTCGACCCCCCGTTGTTTTGGCTGGGCTTATTGGATCCGCTCGCGATTACTCCGTATTGATCCCGGCGTCCATTATCTGCGTCCGTTTATTTCGGTATCGCCGGTAACGCTACCCGTCCGTAGTCACAAATCTTATCGGTCTTTATTTAGCGGCCGTCTCTCCGATTTTTACTGTTCCCCCTTTCAACACCAGTCAGGGTCACGATTATGACAAGTGCAAGGTCAGACCATCATCACTGTAGCGATGTCTTATCTAAACGCTTGTCGAGTGCTAAAACAATTATGGCGTTTTATCATTTGAATTATTAACAACGCTTCGGGAAGTTGTTTGGAATTTTCCAGAAGCTCCCCCCTTTTGAAATTAACGCCCCGCGACATTTGATCTCTATTGGATTTACGAGCAACTAAATGGGTTTCAGCCGGTTCACTCGTCGCGTTGCGTAAATGTTTTCAAAACGTTCAACGTTTGCGTATAATATAAAAATGTGGATGGAGTTCAAGATATCGACGTACGTAAGGTGTCGCTTCTATCAGAGAATTCCTCGGTCGAATAAAAGTCAAATGTAAATTGTGAGTTATCTTTAGTGTCGAACGGTTATCGGGAAGTTGTATGGAATCAGCACGTACCGGTAGCTGATCGTAATCTCGAACAGTAAATTGAAGTCGATCCCGGCGCAGGCTGGATGAAGGGAGATCTCCTATAAATACATTACGGGACACGCTTTATTACTCCGCCATCTTTATCCAATCCTGTTAGGTATTTGTTCGCGGGCTCTCATCTCGCAGTACGTGTTTGTTATGAGGGCGGTCATTTTTTAAAATGGCGTCAGCGTAGTATAATGGTTTTAATACGAGCGCGCGGCGAGCGGCAATTATGGCCCGATATGGATTTGGCGAACGCAAGGGATATGCTAAACTCAACGCTGTCTGCTGACTGCGCGTCTAGTGGCGAGGGGTAGCGATTACTTCAAGAGATCGTAGTATTTCAATTGAGAGGCACTACGACGATACTTGACCGCGAATGCACTTTCCTAATCCAACACTTCAAATGCAAAGAGAAAAGAGAGGATTTGTATTAGATTTGATTCCTCCACGGATTTCTCTCGACTCAGCTTTTATTTTACTTTCTACTACGAGTAAGCAGTGTTGTTGTATTGTCTGGGAGGTCGACTTGTAGACTACGTGTTAGTATCTCAGTGGCGAGAGTATTTTCCATATTAGTAACTGTATTGGGTGTAAAGTGACAGTTTCGTCACCTGCGAATTTGGATTTTTAATATTGATCCCCCGTATTGACATGTCACATTTCTCCTCCGACGTCGATTAAAGATCTGACGAATGTCCACCAGCAAGTAACCATTATATAAATCTACAGAGAATACGGATTAAGCCGGCGGCGGCGCAAATAAATCCGAAAATCCGCGCAATTCAAATCCGCCACGGGCATTACATCGACTGCAGCCGCCCAATCTCGTATTATCGGACCTGTATAATTAGGGGCGACGACACAATGCCCGACGACAAACACAATACGCCGGCACAGACCGCATGTCAATTTAATTTGACCCCCCGATTCAAGATGGTGGACGACCCTCGGCCAATGAGCCCAGCAACCCCCATTACCTGCACGAGCTCGCCCGCCATTCCTCTTAATTGACGCATTTAAGTGATGAAAATGTTGTGTACATTTTACGCCGAGTGTTGTCGGTTCCGATTCGTTGGCTGTTTTTAACCAAACCGTCGCGCAATCGTGCCTCGGTACGTTTGCATTGCGAAAATTTTATAGTAATCTAAAATAGGCCACAGTTGATTTATTTATTTTTATTTCGATGATAAACACGACAGACGTGTTGAGTGCGTTTTGTGAGGTATATCTTTCTACACCTTTATAATGGTTGTTATAAACGTTAAATTATGAGCAGCAGATTTATGTGCAACGAGGTTAAAAAATTAGATGAAATAAAAACAAATATGCACTAATTTATGCTGTAGTCTGTAATATCCTGGGTAGCTATTATAAGATATAATATATTGGGAGACATAATAATTTTAGTATTCATATCATTATGAATACTAAAATTTTTTGTTATTTTAACTAAAACTCAAAAATTCCCTCATGGGAATACAACGGAGTATGAAGAGCCTTTATTGAAAGATGGAGATAATTATCAGTACAGGGGTAGTTGCAATAAAATGGGCATAGCTGAACATCTCTGGCTGATAATGACAGAGGTTGCGTGTTAATTGCAAATGAGACAGGGATTCGAAGGATTTGTGCCAGGTTGTTGCCAGAGCATAAACTTGTTAAATTGCCTATACACTCATATGGGAGAATAATAAAAATTCCACACGAGTCCAGTTAAAATTCGCCATGTATATGGGAGCAATTAAGATAGCACAAGAAGGTGATGTCGTTAGCACAGGGGGCTTAGCCGAAAAAAAATGGGTGTGTAAGCGTTCCTTAGCTTAGTCCCTCAAGCGAATTTAAAATTGGACCGAGTGGATAAAGCGGTGTAATTATGATAATGTTATTGCAAATTACCAGCAGACAGAGTTTTGGCTTTTTTCTAAACAATTTTCGAGCCTGCACGACTCGTCTGGTGTATTACAAGGTCTAGCATTATTGTTTTATAGAATATCGGAGATATTATACCAATTTTAGTTGTATTTGTTGTTTAGATAAAAGAAAAAATAAATAATAAAATAGACAGAAGAAAATAAGTTTAAATTAATTTAAAACATCTTTCTCTACATTCCTTTGCTATGGAATGTTATAAATCGTAACCAGAAAACAATTTCAAAATACTACTAGAAACAGCTAAAAGCGTTCATCAAAAAGTAATTATAATTTTAAGAACACACCACCCTTTTCATTTTTAGAAGGTACAATTGCTTTCGCTTTCAACTTAACCCCGGTGCGTTAGCAAAAAGCTTTTGAACTCGAAAGCTCGGTGAGTTTTTGTTACGGTTGCGTTTCGGTTGGGGTCCACGTACCTGCGAATTAGTATGGAGAGCTTTACTCAATTTTTGATGTCGGTCGTTTTGTTAGTTGCGACTCTCGTGTCGAGTGTCATCTGATTTTCCACTCACTTGCATCATGAACAATCTGGTCGTTCGTTGAACGAATCATTATTTGTTTTTCAATCGCCGTTAGCGGTTTAATTTCGATATAATAGATATTACATTTTGGGTTGGTTCATAATGGGTTCGCGGAATGTCCTTCCTTCGTCCGTCGTCTTTGGCCATGGATCGACGAGACGGACAGTGATTTTGTCGTTACTTTGTCATCTTAATACCTGTGGGGACCAATTCGAGTGTTTTTTATTCAGGCTGAGGGATTAAACCTTTTGCCGTGCATTCATCGTCTTTAAATAACGTTCAACGTAATTTTAGAAGTGGAGACGCGTGGACTGTATTTCCAGGATTATAATAAATTATTTTTTCCTATATTGACCACCAAAAGTGGTGAAGTAATATTTGGTTAGGTAAAAAGTTACCGTCACAATCGGAGATCTCTATAGGATCATTAAGAAATAATTTGATTTATATTTCATTTAGCGGTCTTGAAGAATAATCATATTAAAATAAAATAGAATTTCATTGTGCTTATAAAAGTTCAAATGCAAAAACCATATTCAATTTAGGCTGACCTGTTATGTATGTTAATATTTATCAAAAATTAACTGCAAAGAAGTCTAATATAAAAGCGGGCAGTTAACTCTGGCGTCTCCATATTTAAGAGGTAATTAAAACTCTTATTTTTTATATACTAAATATCATTATGTTATTTATAAGTTTCACCCAACAAACAGTATTGTGTTAATTTATAAAATTATTTGAACACGTTTTACGTAAATAAATTTACATATTTTCTACACACCGGTATCCAGTCCTAAGAAACTAAGCAAAGCTTGTACTATAGGTATTTTTTCTTTTGTAATTAAATACATTTTACAAGTATATAAAAACCCAGACATTTGAATGATACTATGTTTATTATACAACATTTTTGCAGCAGTGGGGATCGAACCCATACCATCTGGCGTAGGAGATAAGTCCACAATCGGGTTTTAGAAGCACGTGTTTATCTTCAAATGTAGTTCACCTCCATACATCCTCGTAGTCAATGAATGTATAAGTATTATTTGATATATGTCCAAAACTTAAACGTGACGTAAATAAATATGTACTTTTACTGGAGACGGACCAAAGTGACACTGTGAAATAGTTTTGACTGGCGGCGTACTCAATTTTATTGTTCGTGTAACTCGCACCGAGATAGGAATAAAAGTAAACAACGATATAGAAGTCGAAGTAATCTTACTCGGATTTTATGGCGGTGGGTAAATGGTCGTAAATATTTTACGGCGTCTCGTGTGCGCGAACACAGCGGTGATTATGATAAAGAGCTGGAAGGTTCCATTCGCCGCGAGTCTTACGCTAGCATGCACTGGTGGAGCCAGGAGGGTCGATGCGGTCTCCGCTGGAAAGTCATGACCCAAACCGAGGGTTTGTGGTGTCGAGTGCAGTCGCGGCATGATGCACGTCCTGATGAAGCCTGAATTCTTCCACTTCACCACGGGACTACTGCTAAGTTTGGTCTGGTGAGGCACGTAACGTTCCGTACCCACAGGGTAAAACGGGATCTTATTACTAAGATTCCTCTGTCTGTCCGTCTGCACCCGACTTTGCACGGATGACGTATTTCTGTTAAAACTAAAAAACAGAATACAAAAATATTTAAGTGGGGCTCTCATACAACAGACATGATTCTTTTGCCGTTTTTTTAGATAATAGTACGGAAACTTTTGTGCGCGATTCCGACTCGCACTTGGCTGGTTTTTTTTTGTTTAGATCGTTCATTGTTGGCCTTTAGGCCTTTACAGATCCACCGGGTGTGCGGTGGCCAGGAGTTGAGGGAGCCTAGCCTGAACCTCGTTTATGAGTGACCAAGCTCTAGGGTCACCGAGGGAGCTTCGGCTCTATTACGAGTAGTACCCGCCGCCATTCTATTGCTATTAGTACCGGATTGTGACGAAGCGTCTGTACTACTGATGCTGTTAATATCTTTGGGGGTAGTCAATTAGGGTGGGGTTGACGGTAGTCAATTACCATCAGATGGACCGTTTCTTCAAACAAAGGTACCGTCCAAAGGCCAAGACACGATGACGAGGCACGAGCTAAGTTCGACGACACAGAGCAGTTTAATTTTAATGCGGTGCCGATGAGATTTTTAATTGGAATTTAACGGCCGATTAGTATTGAATTTGTTATTGATGTGCGTGACGTCCAAGGTCCGTTGTCATTTCAAAGAAGATCTGTGCCTGAAATGACATATTGCAAAGGTTCAAATGATGCGAATAATGTGTTTTAGAAGTTTCATGATACTCTCATTTCTGAATGAAATTTTTGCAAGAGCTAATAGCGAAATCTATAATCAACAACTGTTGATTTCTCTCCACAATCTTGCTTTTGTAAGAAGATATAGTTATCACTTCAAATCTGACGTAAAGATATCTAACTAACATCTGAAACGGGAAGATTGAGATTATAGTGACTTGCGGACAGTTTCAATTCATATGTATAAAATAACTAGATACACGTTCATCTTATTATTAGTGATAACAGAAAAAGCATTAACCACTTTTCATAGGAAATTTTACGAATGATTTATTTTTTAAAACATAAATAAAACTCATAGTGCACTCAACAAGGATAAGCAACATTAATTAAGTATCTTGTATTAACTGATGTTTGTGCTTTCAGTCCCGAGACTATTAAAGCTTCATCTGACGCAGAACCGGTGGGCTAGCCAGAACCCACGGATTCTGGCCCTCCGCAGTGGGTAGGGCCGCGCATGTGCTCATGCGTGCGTTTAATTACGGCATGTCATCTAAGCTCCAAGGGTCGCGAGACCCCGATGGCCGTCGACTGTGTTTTAGCTAATCGGTGGCTGGGGGCGGTGAGAACCGCCCTGGAACGCGGTTAATTAAGTCTTTTCTGGGTTGTGTCATTTTCAGTTCACTTCTTTACGACCCAATATGGTATTAAGTTTGAGTCACTAACTGCGAACTTCTTGGCTTCGGTTCCAAGTAAAACCTTTTGGTACTATATCATTTTGGTACTATTTCAGACTAGCTGAATCTAGTCAGAAAAGCGAAGACAGGCCCGACAGGTTTGACCCGACGAAATAAAAAAAAAACGAAGCAGACTACATTAGGTGATATGCGAGAGTTGGCAAGTGTTTGATAAAAAAAAGAAGTTTAAAAAGAAAAGAGACGGTCTGCGTTCGGGGATACGATACAAGCGCATTGAATATTTCGACGCCGTTATGATTTTATCATTTGGGGCTTATAAAGGGAAATGGCGCGCGATAAATTCACCCAGTTATTATATTTATTCCGCGGCGCACACGTTTCACGTCCAAGCCGATTACGCTTATTTACGATACGATACTAAATTGAAATGAGAACAGCTGCGAACATAAGCTAGGTATTTATCATTTGTAATAACAAATCAATAAGGAAGACGAGCGCTATCGAGACAATCGAAACGAATAGCGATGTAGAGCGCGCATAAATATGAAATATGACTTATTTTGTCGGTAAACGTCAATTTCTGAGGGCAATTTCGTTTTATTAGGTTATAAGTTGCGATGCGGGTTTACGATGGCTTTAAAGATATTCGAATTCTAAGAATAGCGTACAGCGAAATTATATCGCGCACGCCCACGCTTCCTTGACGTTAGAGTTTATTGGAAAAATTGATCAACAAGTGCTTGTATGTTTGCTAAGCTTATTTGTATGTGGCTTAGAATGTATTTGCAGACTTCAACATTGTATAAGCATTTATAAAAGGAAGATATAAAGAAATCTTGACACAGTGCAACTAACATACAGAATCAAAAAAGATTTAAAAATCGGATGAGTAGCTTAGAACACGTACATTTTTGTTTGCATACATTAATGGGCACGGATGATACAATTTGTTTCTTATACTTGCACTAATATTTGATAACGGGTGACCTTAACATTCTTAAGTACGTCGTTGTGTTGGTTCAATGCTAGACCGTCTCTAAGTCTCCATTACAGCTATATGAATATTTGCTATTCACTTCTAACATTTGAATTAAGAAGATAACTGGAAGTTCAATGTCAATTTTGCCGTGATCTAAATCTATCGAGTTTACAAGACGTTTTTATATATAGTTCAGACCGCCGCAAGTCGCTGCGCGATAACTGGAATCTTTTATCGTGAGTGGTCTTTTACTAAAACTAATTATCGATTTATGTCATCGGCCGGCCTGTGGGGTGGTAATGGGCTCGCCGACTGTCACTTTATTCGAAATAAGCGCCGTGGAAAAGTGGGTTAAGACGAGTGAAATGGTCCTAATCTGTCACCGCCCCATTAGGGGCCGTCATAAGTAGGGTTAATGTCGTCGCCTAATCCACCAGCCGGATGATACGTCGTATAGCACGCGATCGTCGCCACGAAGCGAATAGCGCATTAATATTTTGACGATATAAAAGCAAGGAAGAACAAAAAGAGACGGTCCGACGCTACACATGGTAACAAAGAGACAGATAGGAGCCGCCAACGTCCTACGGATTGCATTGACGTGTAAACACTTCGCCGATCTTTTTAAAAGACTGGATAGTATCCAGTCTTGTATGTACCGCGTAGTATTTTCGCAATGGCAACACAATGGCGTCGTCTATTTTCGAATTAGGAGCGCGGGAGACCGTCAATGGGCGCGGACGACATTAAATTGGTTCAATTGCCCCGCCGAGCTTGCCTCCGTTATTCCTCAGGGATACTGGCGTTGTCGCGACGATCTAGACGCTGTCTGCCGACGCTTGTGTATATTCCAGCTCATCTATTTTTCTTTATCAAATGTAAATGTCGTTCCCCGCGTCGATATAGATTCTACAATTTGCTCACAGTTTTCTATAATATTAACATAAGGATTGACGGTCCACTATTTGTTATTCTCTTGTCTTTGTTTGTGATGGGAAATGTTTAAAGCTTATAATTAGATCATCGCCATTCATTTACTAATGAAAGGCTATTATATATATTACATGTACTGAATATAGGCTATGTTTGATGACATAATATTATTTATTTTCATTTACTACTACAAATATCTTTAGGTCAAATCAGTAGAAAATGTTGATAAGTCAGTCGTCATGCAGTGTTTTAATAGGTAAGCCTGTTGACTAGCATTACACAATAAGGTATTTACAATTATTGTTCATTATATAAATTCCCAACATCTATACTGTCGGAATTATAATATTAAATTATAATATTTGAAGTTTTAGTTAACTTAGGCTTGTCTAACAGTGTGAAGCAGCGCAAACTAGTATTCAAAACTGTGTTTTTTTAAGTAATCGATACAGGGAAAGGTTAAACTGATAAACCGGTGCTAGCGAGAGTCGAATCTGTGACCTCAAGACTGTAAATTTGACACCTCACTATAGCTTTGGCACTGACGTCATCCAGATTTTTTTCATATTAACCAAATTAATGAAAACTGGACCAAGACGCCGACCGCTTGAACACTGACATCTTTTATTATTTTTTACTAACTCAAAGAAACTGTGGTAGGCCCCTGCAATAGTTTAAGTCGTTACATGGATGTTTTATTATTTTTTTTTTATGGAGAAAAGGGGCAAACGAGCAGGAGGCTCACCTGATGGTAAGTGATTACCGCCGCCCATGAACACCTGCAACACAAATGCGTTGCCGGCCTTTTAAAGAAAGAGTACGCTCTCTTTTTGAAGGTTCCCAGGTCGTAACGGTTCGGAAAGACCGCCGGCGGCAGTTGGTTCCACAGAGTGGTTGTGCGAGGCAAGAAATGCCTTAAAAATCGCGCTGTTGTGGAACGTTGGACATCGAGGTGGTGTGGATGAAATTTTTGGTTCTGGCGCGATGTCCGATGGTGGAATTCAGCCGCCGGGATCAATCCATACAATTCCTCAGAACACTCCCCGTGATAAATGCGGTAGAAGATGCAGAGTGATCCAACATCTCTACGCAGAGCCAGAGGATCAAGCCGATCGGAAAGACTTTGATTAAAAGGTGGCAACACATCTACAACCCTACCGGTGTTGCAAAGGTCGATGGGTGGCGGTTACCACTAAACACCAGGTGAACCGCCAACCTTGCTACCTTCTCGCATAAAAATAATAATGAAAACTAGACCAAACATTGCGTGTATCTTTTAATCTCTACAAATCGCTTGGCCTATTATGAAAATTTTTAATCTCGCGAAACATCTCTGTCCGTATTTGGGTTACGATTTTGCACGCGAATCGCAGACGGCACTCGGCAAGCGGACGCTTATGGCACTTATAGAAGAAAATTGGAAACAATTTCGCGGAGTGATCCTCGATGTCTCCTTAATTAAATCCCGTGATGGTAGTTTTGTTTATCGTTATGAATTATCGGTTGTCAAATTTTGTTTGAAAGTTCATACTGGTGAATACGTTTAATTTATCATAGAGCATATTTTCTTTGTTTTTAATTATTTCAACTGAAAATTGTCAAATGTGTGATTTAAAAGCTTACCTTGGCTACTGTTATGTTACTGATTGTTAAGGGTATGGAAAAATGTTGTATTTATAATGTTGTACTTACGAGTCAGCACTGTCTTATCAAAAACAACTCGAGTACCAGATACTTCGCGGAGCGATTCGTCTCCCCATCTGATTGATAGCGAACGTTGTCACCGATCTATCAGAGACGGGTGCACGCTCTAATTGAACTTTTCCGTCGGAGCGTGGCGATCCGATGGATAATTGGCAGAGCCGTGAATCACACGCGACGTTTAACCAAGAGACATCACGTGACATATCCGTTCCCATAGAAAAGTGGAACTAAGCAGCGTCGTCTTCGCAACATTGCGACACAATCCCACGAGTCAAGTTTTGCTGAAATCACATAAACGGATTCCACATCCAGGCTATGGAAGCTTTGTCAGGCGACACCGCTGCCTACCGTATTGCGTGCACCGCACGCAGGCGGCCGAAATTAAGAGGCGGCCAAATCGTTACAAGTTGTTTACTGGGCAAAAATACAATCGGTTTGTTTTCATTTGTAAAAACAGTTTCTCTAATAATGTATAAAAACTGATTAGGTCGTTGTAGTATTTTTATACCTAGTCATGCAGCGAATCCGAATTTTTTCGAACATTGCACGAGCGACGAGCCGAAATAGTCATTGACCGGCGTCGCTAAGCTTATTAGTCGTATTAGTCTATAGACTAGCGATGATAAATCGTTATTTGTGTCCTGTGTGTGATCCGATATTATTCAGGATCAGACGCTTATTCCTGACTTTTAGGCGTGTGGTGAAATTTAATAAAAAGTTTATTTACTCGACAAAGCTATAGCTTAAAATTTGGGTAGACTTTCACTTTTTGGGCCCGGGAAATTTTGGCGGGTTTTAAATTGTAAGTTCTAAATAAATAAAATATTTAATAATATTAAAAAAAATTAAAAAAAAATTAAAAGCAAATTGTTGCAATTATTTTATTATTTTATTTTTTGAAGGCAAATTTTTGAGTAATAAACATTTCTTCGATATTTCGCATCGATCAGGGCGAAAGTTAAAAGCAAATTGTTTGCAGGTGTTCTATATTTCGCGGCGAACAGTGTTCGCTGGCGTTCGTACTACGCCGGACGCCGGATTAAGTCGACGAGGCCTTCTAGAGCCGAGCGAGGAGTGGACGCATTAATAATGGCCGCTGTGAATGGAGCACTTACACGCTCCACCGGGATCCGAATGTGCGACTCGCTGGGCGAAACGAACATACGGTCAGGTTCATCATTTCACGGGGCCTTGAGAGACGGCCGGCCGAAAATTGGACGAGGACGCTTTTGATACTTCGATGCCCACCATTGGATCAAAGGTAATCTTGAATAAGAAATGTTTTGAAAAGTAAGTAGTAAGCTCTAAAGTTTTTTAAATTGGGGCGTTGACAGTGACGAAGGCGTTTCAGTGGGCTTGTGTGGAATCAATATTGGCCAGTTATTTAAGATATCATACAAGCCAATAGAATCGCACACCGGACCTATTGCAAGCGAATATTTTCAAAAGTATTCAATTCTATAACTATACGTAGGCTAATTTTCCTGAATAGAAATTAGCCTATGTCGATCTCACTGCTATAAATTATCTCAATGCAAAAAAAAACATGTCAATCCGTGAAAGAAATATGAACCAGGAAATATTTAGCAGAGAATTTTCATATTGTAAATATGAAATCATGATTGATAGTCACGAATTAAATGAAAGAATCGCTACGTCACTGGGAGATGCCGGTTTCAGATAAGTTGTGCCTGGTTAAATAAAACTTACACCAGATTTTATTTTCTTCGCGTTTTATTTTCATTGTTCTGCGCTAATTGCAGGTTGAAATGATATAAATAAAAAACTTGATGGTAGTGCGGGCGAAATGTGATATTAAGATTTAAAAAAAAAGTTTGTTTCGTGGTCATGAAACGCTAGGATTTAAAAACATAAAAAATTTTAATCGTGTGATACCGTTGTGTAAAAACATATGAGATAAAAAAAGTGTGTACGTGTAACCTTTACGTGCGATTGAAGTAAAACTTCTTTGGCATTGACGGCTGAAATGATTAAATATTTAGTAACGTCATAAGTATATATCATATTTTAAAAATATGACATATACATATGAAGTTACTTCCGTCAGAAAAAGCGTTACTTCCGTCAGAAAAAATCTGAGTTACTCCCTAGTCGCGCCTAAAGAAGTTTTACTTTAAAAAATCAATAATATTCGTAATATGTTATTGTCACTAAATTACAGTCAATGAGAACACATACATAACAAATGTAAATGATAGTTTGATAAGGAATTAACTATTCACATTACGTTCGTATTCCACATTTATAAACAAACGTAATGTGATAAGATCCATAAAGTGGTGTCATTTCGGTGTGTAACGCGGAATTTTTTCCCAAATTCAAAAAATAATTAATATTTCGACGTTTATACATCGCGAATGCGAACATAATTCTAAAATTCCTATTTATATACGCCATTTCCGAGTAAAAAACAACACGTGTATCAGGGCACAGAGTATTAACAAAACGTGTACGCTAGCACAGAGTACTAATAAATTCATGCGAACGGTTGAAGCGCGACCAAGAAACAAAGATTACCTGTAATGACACCGAATTATCCTGCAACTCGAGACGGGCGGGCGGCGCTGTCGCATGGAAATCACTGCACTTTGCGAGGGTACTCCCCGATAATGGTAGCAATTACGGCCGCCTCGGCGCTACAGCCGTTTGTTTACGGCGTGCCTCGGTCACTGTAGGCGTCCTTTCCGTTTCTCGGTAACGACTTTGCGAGAGTACAGTTGAAACTTCCAACAGCGAACGCTGAGATAAAAATGTTTTGGTTGACGGTCTTAGGACATGAGAAATTCGAATCCAATTGGTTCATGCTTATGAGAGGCGCATCGCGATATTCACCGTCACCTGTGGGGTCACGCTATAGCTTTTGCTGTTCCAAAAATGGGCTGGCGGGCATTGAAAATTCAAGTTAATTGGACCTTGTCCATGTTTTGAATATATGTTAAATTTTAATAACTATTACCTTTCGACTGTGATCAGAGCTTATATTATTATATACTTAAACGTCACTAAATATTTTCTTGAAACCTTAAGTTTGCTTTCTTATTATTTATTATTTACAGTCTTTGCATATGGACATCCAGAAAACTATGAACAATTATCCGTAGGTAATCAAAAGGTCGAGAAAATTCCATCTAGAAAATCTTTAGGAAAAACTTGTTTTAACGTGCGATATCTGAACAAAAAAGGTGAAAAAAAAAAATTGTTACATACCTCTTTTTTGTTTTTTTTTTACAAATGTTGCCACAGTCGTTACGCTAAGAAAACCCGCATTTCTTTCCATAGCGACAATTGGGACGTCGAAATTTTAGGTCAACTGACTCAAGTTTGAGAAGAAACATTTCAACATTACTATTTTCCGTATTTAACGAACAGCTTTGTGCTCTCATACTTTTATCTTTATTAAAGTACTATCTTAAGTTACAGGGTATATTTTAAATGAAAAATGTGTATACACAATTAAAAGGAGCGAAACTTCTTTGCGATTTTTTTTAAACTTGATTCCCGGACTACTAATACAGCTACGGTTCAATACAAACAACTAACTTTGTCATTAGGACTCGTACATCAAACTAGTGTCCGGTTTTCCATTGTTTTAGGGGTATATACATACGGATGATGTAAAACGGGACCCTATTACTTATCGGTTTGTCCGTCTGTCACCAGGCTGTATCTCATGAACCGTGATAGTTTGTTGAATTTTTCACAGAAGATGTATTTCTCCCATACAACAGACATGATTTTGCCGTTTTTAATAGATAATGGTGCGGAACCCTTCGTGCGCGAGTCCGACTCGCACTTGGCCGTTTTTTATATCGGTCTAGTCATTTTAAATCTAATTACATGGAACGTGCCTTCTTTTAAATAAAATGTGTTGTATTTTCATATACCGAAAAAAGTAAAGTATTGATTGTTACATATAGTATTATTCATTGTATTTACAAGATTGTTTGCTTTGTATAAGAAATCGTAAATACAATGAATAATTCAACTGCGGTAGATTACCGACAGATTACAAAAGTACAACACACCTCTCCGGCAATACAAGGGATCAGCCGGAGACCACGGTTGGGTACAAGTATATGTTTGCTTTTTGTCCTGATAGTGAGGTATCCCGGAGGGTCACAGCGATCGGCAACACGTCACATCTCTGGTGGTCTCGAAACATCTATGGTGTTGTCCACTGCAGTCGGCCCTTACTTACCATCAAATACTTGCTCAGTTGACATACCTTTGGAATAAAAAAAATCAAGAGTAAATTAAACATGTCCTCGTTTCCACGATTTGATCTAATAAAACAATTATACGGCCAATTTAATTAAGGGTTCGATCTCGCTCTATCGGTTTTAATAATCAATCAATTGGCTAGTATCGTAACGAATATCCTTAAAGGGTGCCTTAATAAATCCAGTTAAAGACTTCTCCATTCCTTTATAAGGCAATTAAGGTTTTAGCATTTGTATAAAATCAATTGGACAAAGATATTCATCTAAAGAACTAATCGCGAACGTAAAGTTGAAAACGTAAAAGAAGTTTTTTCAATTAAACAATTAGTACTTACAGTTTTAATTATAAGAAGTTATTATGAATAAGGTTTATTTAATTTAGAACTTTTAATGGAATATAAGTGAGAATTACGCTTTTGTAGTTAAGGGTCATATTTACGTTTGTCGTTTACCAAAACATTATTTTATTATAAGTAAAGATAAACCAAACCCGTTACAAGTATGTATTTCTAGGTCACATAAATAAATTTGCCATTGTTGGTTGATTCGTATCCCAATGGACTATCTATTGGGATCTGAAGCAATGACCCCAAGCCGAAGCTTAGAGTTTCGTGACTGCACCAGCTGGGTTACGGAATTATATCATACCAGTTCGCAAATTTGTTAGTGCTAATCCGTATGTTATGGGACGCGATAGCTTGGTGTCTTTGCTTATAATTTAGTACACTCGAGTGACCTGAGTTGTAATCCCGGTGCCGATATCAATGAAATTGTCAACTGAAATTTTAAATCCCGACATATCACGTGCTGAGTGGCGAAGGAAAAAATCCAGAGGAATTCTGCACACTTTTCAGAATAATAACAAAAAAAAAATGATCCGAAGTACGTCAATCCGCAGTGCGGTCGCGTGCCGGGCTATGCCCTAATACCCACTGCACAGTGGTGGCCTTTACCCAGCAGTGTTATTATTATGTCGAATTAAATTAACAGTCGTATATTAGCAGTGCAATATATACAGGCTGTTACTTGAATTCGTATTGGCTGAGCCACTCGGGCGCGCGGCCCAGCACCTTGCGAGTACTACAGTCGGTGTGCGCGAGTAAGATGTTCAATTCGCACGTGTCGCAAACTCTGCGTGTTTGTTGCAAAAGTGGAAAGTTGACGTGGCAGCAGCGCGGGAGCTCCATTGAAAGTCAATTTTCGAAGTTGTTCGTTTGCGAACGCGGGTCGAATGCGGAGCGACGGCGCTCGCCGTTTGCATACGAGACGGCCGCACGTGATGCCAGAATAGACTCCGCGGATTCGGAATAACGGCCCGATGCTGCTGCTACCCTGTTCATAACGCGACACCTGTGAACTTTGCGAAATCCCAAACTGCAGATCGAGTTTTGTTTTAAGTTAAAGACTTAGGCTCCCGTTTAGGAATTATTTGCATTTGGCATGTGTACATAAACTGGTTACAACTGAAAACACATCTGTAAGTCTATCAGGTTGTATACACCTGTGACTCATCAAAGTAAGTTTCGTTGATGATATAACATTTTTCACAAACCTTGTGCATGATCCTGATGTAAAAGTTTGGAGCAGATTACATTTTTAAGTTTGTCGAACTTAATAAGGACGCAAGATCAATTTGTAAAAAATTTGAGTAAAGAATCAAAAAAATGCCTAGTTTCCGAACGACTCTTCATACACACCTTTTTTTCAAACCCATACACCGAATATTTTTGATGTAATTGTATATATGTATATTAATAACCTGCATCAATAAAGTATTCCTTTTACCTAAAGTTATGCCAGGCGAGCTTTTGCTTAGTTTTTCGGGGAAGTAATTGCGACGGTACGAGTATTATGCATTCGCATTCGTCCGACGTCAAAAAACAACGCATCCAACGAAATTTCAATTCCATTGTGTTTTGTGG